AATTGGAAAAAAGTAATTTTTTCTGATGAATCAAAGGTTGAGCTGCATCCTAGGAGAAGGGAGTTTGTTAGGAGGCCACTGGGTAAACGGAATGACCCCAAATATACCACAAAAACAGTAAAATTTGGGGGAGGGAATATAATGGTGTGTGGCTACATTAAGTTCAATGGAGATAGGGGCCTAGCTTTACTGTCTAATCGCATGACAGCTTCGGATTATGTCAAAATTTTGAGCAGTCATGTTGTCCCAAATTATAGGAGAGGGGAAATTTTCCAGCAGGATGGGGCTAGCTGTCATACAGCAGCCAGAACAAAAGCATACCTCGAGAGAAAGGGAGTAGAAACACTGGATCCATGCCCAGATGTTCAGAGAGGAATTTTTTAAAATTTCAGAATTGGAAATTCAATTCTTATATGAGACAATGGAAAGAAGGCTTAAGGCAGTTGTAGAAGCTAAGGGTATGCACACAAAATATTAAGGCATTAAAAAATATAATATCTTGTAAATAACAGTCAAAATAAGAACAAAAAATACTTTTAATATTCTTTTAGAGTAATTTTTGTGATTGTAACAAGTACTTATGCTCCCATAGAAAATAGGCCTACCACATTAAAATATCAATAATTCAGAGATTTGAAATGAAAAACGTATATTTTCTCTCTATAATGATAAGAAGAATATTACTAAATATAATAATATCCTTCATTGTCATTCTTTAAGTACAGAAAGAGAAAAAATCAAGAGAATATTATTTTTTTGAGGTGTAACAGTGACTTACTGCCGGTACTGTATATATTTTTAAACCTAACCGTATTTCATTACCCTTTGTTATTTCGACACGTTATTACTTATTATTACTGTTATATTTACTAGTATATACCTTAAATCTTTAATGCGTATATTGGTAAAGTTGGTGGAAATAGCTTTAACCTACACTCGCTACTCATTCATCGACTACATATTGAGTAAATGAGCTTCTAGTTCTAAACAAGCTAGTTTAAACAACCAGCTGACAGTTAGAAAACTGAACTATCAACTGTTAATTTTGTAGGGTTTATATACTCTTTTAATGGTTGACAGTTCACAAATTTCAACGTTCACAACAACAAAAGTAAAAAAAACAGACATTACTAAGCAGTATTCCAGCCAGTACATTTATTTTTAGATGTTTTTTTAATACAGCAGTCCATAACGAAACCAGTTTAGCTTATAACTTGGCAAAATGCCCTTTTCATAAAGTATCTACAGTTAAAAGGAGAAAGAGCGGAGAATGTAAGTTTTAACTTGAATACATTAAAATATAATTCTTAAAGAGGGAAATACAACCTAGATAATTACAAACATTTTTGTGTTTATACCCTAGATCCTAAACAACTAACTACTATTTTAGTTTTCTTAAGTGAAACAAAAAAAAGGAGAACCAGAGGGAAAGAACAAGAAAATCTTCTTATTGTTATTGAATTATTAACAGTAAGTAAATTTATTGAATTGCATTCAAAAGTGGCTTTTTCAATGATATTTTGTTTTTATTCTATGTATAAGATTGATAACAACATTGATGTTGGAAATTATTGATTAATCAATAAGTATGAATGACGAAAATACCATTCTAGAAAGACTTAAAAATATCTGCAAGAAAATTGATTTCAAGTACGATTCATTATCATTTTTGCATAAAGACAACTTTGATAAAATTGAACCTTTGCTTGAATGTTCAACATTGGAAATATGTACAGATGGTGTAAAACACGAATTGACGGATAACTACCTTTGGACATTGTTATCAACTAGAAATGAAGTATACCATTACATTACAGGTAATACTGGTGTAGGTAAAACTATAACTTTGGAACAAATGGCTAAAAAATGGTGTCAGGATTCTAAATTACAATCGAAATATTTACCTTTCATACTAATAAAAGAAAATTCTGTTGAAACTCTTAGGCAGTTGACACGCAATGTATTGTTAGATGATTTGCAATCATTCACGAGAAAACCTATACTATTAGTTGATAACGCAACAAAAAGCACAATTGAAGAGTTCCTTCAAAATTTGGAAAATCGACAAATTTGGTTTTATAAAGCAGTATTTTTCATGGAGAAGCATTGTTTTAATGAAATTCAAGAAAGAAATAATGGCATGACTATTAGACATGAAATTTTAGGATTTCATGTAAATGCAAATCCGACATTTTTTGAGAAATTTTTCACCATGTCAAATTTTGTTAGTGTTGGATTTATTAACATGAAAGATAAGAGATGTTCATCTGAGAAATATGACTTTTTGAAATTTAGAGATATTGTCATTAAAAAACAAACTCTCAACCTATTATGTAAAATACCATTATACGCTACATATGTTGCGATACTTTGGAAATCAAATTGTAATATTGAATGTTTAACTGACAAGTATAGTATCTATAGTGAAATTGTTGAGTTAATTTTACTTGGTAAATCTGAGTCTGAGAAGACAGCTATGATTGAGAATGTTGGACAGTTTGCTTTTGAAAATATATTTGAAAACCAACAAAATTCTTTATCTAATCATAATCAGAATAACATATTATTCGAAATGATGAAATATCATTATGAAGCTAAACAGTATTTTGCAGTTAGACACATTTATGATACTAAAAAAAAATATTCAAATATATTTCGAAATTCTTTGCAAGAATCTGTAATGCATCATGAAAATATTCTACAATTTTTTAAGATGAAAATTCCCGAAATCTATTTAGAAATGTGTACAAAGAATCTGAATTATCTGGTATCTTGCAAAGAAATTTCCCAGAATTTTCTCAACATGATCAAACATGAAGTTGATGGAGTTTATAAATTGGAAAATGATATTTTTAGTTCGTTTTCCTTATCAGTTTTTATACGAAAAGAGACAATTATCAATGAAATCGATTTTACTAACGTTTCATTTGATTTTGGCGAATTTGTTAAAAACAGCAAAAGTTATTTTAAACAATTGAAAAAATTTCAAATAATTGGAGGACTAGAAAAAGTAATTTTAATGGAAAATCTGCATGATTTTCTAATCAATCATCTTCAAATTACTCATCTAGTACTTGATGATAATTTTATTAGAAAACAAGAAAATTCTTGTATTTTAATTATGATAGAAATTCTATCATTAGAATTTTTATCATTGGTTGGTTGTAGTATGACAGAAAGAGAATTTGAGATTCTTTTTAATTGGTTAAGAGTTTGTAATAATTTAAATCATCTGAATTTATCAGACAATAGCTTAAATGGTAAATTTTTTATCATATTTATTAGATGTGTTTATAAAAGTTGATTTTTTAGAATCTGTCTTAACCTTTTTCTCTCTCTATCTATCTATATTTCTCTCTTTGTTTTTCTCCTCATTTTCTCTTGTTCTTTTTTTCTTTCCCTCTCTCTATCTACATCTCTCTCTGTCTTTCTCTTTTCTTCTTCTTCTCTGTGTCTCTCTTATTGTGTCTCCTCTAGTTTTCAAAAAGTAAAATCGTGAATAGTCAATCAATCAATTTTGGTTTTTTTAACTTTTTCACAGATAGCAGCATGGAACAGTATCGTTCACTTTTGGAAAAGAAGAATCTAAATAAATTAAAATGCCTGTCCTTAAAGAAATGTATGATTACCAAAACTGGAATGAACAGCCTATCTAAAGCTCTTAGTTATTTAAATGATCTTCGGATTATTCAACTAGATAACAATGATTTTGGAAATGATACACTACGTAACCTATACAATGGATTAAAGGGATGTACTCAATTGGAGGAAATATCGCTGAAAGGATCCCAGTTGATATCATTTGATTTTCAACTATACAAATTATTTGGAAATTTAAAAAGAGTATTTGCATGTAATAACTGTTTCATTGATTTAAGTTGGATTGATCCTGAAAGTTTTCCTAATGAATCAACGCATTTTAGCATGGCAAATATTCAAATGATATTACCTAAATCAGTAATCAATCATATTCTTCCAAAAACTTTAATTCATTTGAATATTTCTGGATCAGACTTGGATAGATGGGAATCTGGGATTTTAGAAGTTATTTCAGAATTAACAAATTTAGAGTATCTGAAATTGAAGAAATGCAATCTGAACAAAAATTCCATTGAAACTGTCAAAAATACTTTTGTAAGGCTAGAAAAATTAAAAAGTCTAGATTTTAGTAATAATAATCTTGGAAATGAATCATTTTTGAATTCAATATTAACAGTTTTAAATGAAAAAAAACACTTTTCAGAATTGTTTGTCAATGGCTGCTGTATACTTGATATCAATTTTGGTGATGATTCCCCAATAAAATTATCAACATTTGATTTATCTAATAACAAACTTTCAGAAACAACTGTAAGAAATCTTGCAAACTTTTGGCTTGAGATGAACAAATTAGAAAAGAAAGTTGAATTTTATATGAGTAATTGCGTGAATCATTGGAATGGATTACTACAATCATGTCAACTAACAAATTTACTGGAAATAAAGAATTTAGCAGTACTAGATATCTCTTCAAATGGTATTGGAAAAACAAATATGGAGGAAATTTTAAGGAAATGTTATTTAAATTTAACAAATTTAACAGAAATATACATCTATAATAATAAGTTAGAAGGGAATATCCTTTTTAAAATGATAGAGTATATCTTAAATATGAAAAAATTACAAGTTTTAAATAGTTCAAAACATTCAAAACACTATAATTTTAAAATGGGTGAAGATTATTTTAAATTCAGTTTTCTTGAATTTATTGATGATATTGATAAAGATATTTTTAATTTATACAGACTTTTTGAAATAAGTATGGTTATAAAGAATTCTGTTACCAGTAATATCCTTACAATCACTGAAAATAGGACACCATCCAAATATTTAAAATACTATTTAAATATTCTTATCTTTGGAAAATTTCAATTTTCAGCTTTAAATATTTCTCAAATTGTTTTGGATGAACAACATTTACAACTTTTTTCTCAGATATCATTTCTCAATAATATGCTAAATTCATTATCTATTAATGAGGTCACTATTCGTTATACATCTCAAAATAGATTGAATTTTGGTAAAAATCTTAAAAATTTAACATTAATTAGATTGTTAAATATTGAATTTGTTCCGAGTGAAAATGAGCAACATTTTTGGGATCAAATACTTCAGAATTTCACTTGGAATACTAATAATTGTCCTGGATTGAATACATTGGTAATATCTTTTGGTGAATGTAATGTATCACATCACCTATCAAATATAATTAAAATCAATAGAGTAAGTTTAACAGCTATCTGTATTGAAAATTCAACAATTGGATGTCGTATTTTAAGAACAATACGTAAAAATTGTAAAAATCTTCTTGAATTATCATTATGGCACAGTAAAATAAATTTGATTAGAGGTAGTGATCAGACACTACTCACTAACATTTTTTCTTTTAATCAACAATTGAAATATATTGAATTGGGTCATTGCACAAATATTCCTCACTTCAATGATACATTACAACAAATTGAAAAATTGGAGAAATTGGAGAAGTTAGGTGTAAGAAAACAAAAATTTTCAATAGAAAGATTATTAAATATTATAAGAGTTGAATGCCAACAACTATATATGTTAGATATAGCAAAATGTGAATTAGGTGACAAGTCTATTAATAAATTTATGAGAAGAATTGAAGAGAAAAATTTATTTCAAATGCGTCAATTAACTTTAAGGAAAAACAATCTAAAAAGGGATGGATTTGATTCAGATCTACTTTGTAAAGTACTCAAGAGATTATGTTCTTTGGTAATCTTTTCAATCACTGAAAATGAAATTGGTGATGAACATTGTTTAAAAATTCTTGAAACTTTACCAATTACGTGTAAAAATCTTCGAATGTTGTATATGAGCGATTGTAAATTATCATTAAAAAATGACACTAAACTCGTAAACTGTATTAAAAAGTTGCAACATTTACAAGTGGCAGTTTTAAACGAAAATAAGTATGAACAGACATTTTGTCTTGTGTTAGAATCATTTAATGGAAAATTATCACTAACAACTCTTAAATTGGGTAGTGTTACATTTTCTGATGGTGATTGGGAGTATCTTCAATTAAAGGAAAATCATCCTTCTCCTCCAACAAGACAATCTGTTAAAATTATTTTAGAATCTTTTGAAAAATCATTCGATCGAATTTTCAATTTAACTCACTTAGATTTATCTAAAAATCAATTTGGAGATATTATTGGTAAAATACTATTTCAACAATTATCTAAGAATACTAAACTTTTACAAATTCTTGAATTCAATGATTGCCAATTTACAAGTCTAAGTATTCAATACTTTATCAATCTTTTGAAATGTTTAAAAGAGCTTAAAACATTATCTATATCTAAAAATTCATATGGAAACTGTGGACATGAAATTTTATCAACTTTACATGCATTTTGTAAAAATATTACTAATATTTCAATGGATAATTGCAATTTGGAAAAATCAATTTGTTATGGAATCATTGAATTTTCGGAATTACCAAATAAACTTAAACTTGTATCCTTAAAAGATAATCCCAATTTGATTAATTTTATTCCTTACCTTGCTAATATTCAGTTTACAATAAAATATGATAACAATGATGGTTAGTGAAGGAAATGTCTGTCTTCCTGTATAGATATGTGTAAAATGATGATGAATATCTTTACTTTGTTGTGTTATTAACTTGAAGGGGTTTTCCTTTTAATATAAAATCAGAATACAAAATATTCACAAAAAATCTGCTGAAATAGTAAAAATTCAAAAAGCCATAGGCTTAAAAATAATTACTCTAACATAGACGGAAGTAATTTATATATTTTGAATATCAAATGAGTTAGGATAAAATATAAATCAATTGATTATTTAAAGAAAACTTACTAAACTTGAATGTATCATAGCTCAAAAACTATAAAAGATATTTGAATTCTGTAAAGAGATTTGAGATCTTCATTTGCATGGGCCTAGAAAAATCTTGCAATACTTTAACAAGTATTGATCTACATCTCTATAATTTAAATGAAAACACAATAGTCTGTTTTGGAAATCAATTAATTAATTTTACAGCAATTGAACAAATATTTCTAGGAGGAAATGTAAGGATGCTAGTTAGAATGGAAGAATATGATTCACTTAGAGTAGAAGGAAGATATCTATTTGTAGTAATGTCAACTACTACTGTACTAAATATGAATAAAAATTTCGATCTTTTTCATTCAAGAAAGCTCTGTTATTAGTTGGGCTTTAGGCAAAAGTATATGTTTCAGTCAAATTGCTAATAAAGTGTTAGAAAGATATAGGAAACAAAGTTTTTAAATTTTTGTTGTTTTAAGATTATATGTTAACTTAGAAAAGTATGATACCTTTATAAGATTTTGTCTTTCGCCTATAGCACGAAATTCCTAAGAATAGCATATAACGTTCTGTTTAATACCTATACAGTTGGATGTGGGATAAAACATCCTAATTTGCATGTCTTAATTTATTCTAACTCTATCCCATCAAGCTAAAACTTCAATGATTTCAATTCTCATAGCATTGTAATGAAATAAGTTAGTAGCGTTTGTTTGTAGTCTTCTCTCCAATTGTATTCAAAGAAGATTCAATTTTTTTTACATTAAAAACTTGTTCAATTCTTGTCTTAATTATCTCTTTTTTAAAATACACTTTTAGACTAAATCTATAAAATGTACTAGAGCCAATCCTCTACTATTTTATATCTTTAAATATTATCTATGGTTTGAATAGAAGCAGTACTGTTGTAATTCTCGAACACAACATAAAAAGCAGTAGCAGTACAACATTTTCATTCATAACTTCATCATTAGCAATATGTTTAATAACACTGGATTATTGAAACAAAACAGCATCAACATTTTTAGGGTAAGACAAAATCAAACTCACCAAAACCGTGTTTCTTTGTTTCATGACTAAAATAGTCAGTGACAGGATTTTTGCTAGTTGATAAAAAATTATTCTCAATTGCACTAAAGTTATCTTGATTGAAATTGAATAAAAAACGTGCTTGTGGAATTTCATTTCATTTTTTCATTACTTGAAAACAAAATTAAATCTCTTTCTTTTGTATCTTTAATGGAAATCTTAATTATAATAAATAGAAACATAACATATACACTTAAGAAACAAGGAATAGAGAAAGAGACTACTATTATGAATATTTATCAAATCATTCAAATTATTCAAATCTATCAACTATCTAAAAGCATTCAATTGCAAATCAATCCTCATTTGAAATTATATTTAAAATTTAATGATTATGATAGTGTTGATAATGATGCTGCTGATGGCGATGATATCGATGATATCATTGCGAAAGGGATAGTTTATGTTAAAGATTCAAATATGAATAAAAGTAACTTTCTTTCTTTACGTAGTAAGAATATTAATTTTTTCATCATTAATAATATTTGTAAAAAACTTGGATATGAGTCATTCTATTCCTCGTACACATTGTATGAGATGGAGAAGACATCAGACATATTTCTTTTATATTGTTACTCGCAAAATGATTGTAGCATTTTGTAAGTTTCTTGTTTATATTCTTTTAAATATCTAAAGATGTAAGAATTGGATACAAAGAATTTTTCTATAGATTTAAGGAGTTATGGATGTCAGACAGTGCAATGAAGATATCTTGTGTAAAGAAAAATTTTACATGTAAACAATTAATTGACAATCAAAACTCAGCAATGACAATTTCTTTCTTTTTTGTAGATCTGTTCACTAAAAGATTATCTGATAACATATACGAGCTATTTCATAAAACTGGAAACAAAATATTCTCTATTAAACGTAATTCAATAACACCAAAGAGAATTTGCGGTGAAAGTAAATTCATATATCCATCTTCTGCTGGAATAATATTCAAAATTGAGAAATATGGACTTGAAATATATTCTTTTAATTTCTCAAAAAACACATGGTTTGTCCTTCAGAAGAGTAATTCAACAAAGTCAATGACTTGTTCATTTATGGATTTAAATGGTAAGTTTGTTGCTTTTGATTGAATCCAATTTTTTAATCTTATCCTTTCATAGACTTTACAGTTGCTAAGGATACAAAAAATCAAATGGCTTTTCTTTATTTTCCGTATTCTAAAGAGATGCTCCCAAAATATCATATTCAATCAAAAACTTATGGCTTTTTGCAGCCAGCCTTTAATGCTGGAACAGATGTAGATTTTGCATGCTTCATTGTATGTGAAATGATGTCGATGTATGTTGAAAAATCGAGTTGCACTTATCAAAGAGTTAATAAAAATATACCAATCCCTGTTTTAACAAAATGTTTAAAAGTCAAGGAATCTTTCCAAAATTGTTATATTACCTTTTCGAATGTTTCATCTATTGAATTTAACGTTCTAGTAAACTGCAATACAGACAAAAATGGTATTATTGTATAAAACTAACCAGAATTTACATTTTTTTAGTTTGTTTAATACTTTTTAATTCTCCAGTGGAAATACAGCTTAAAGATGTCAAGTACATATTACATAACAAACAGGATGGAGAGATATTTGATACAGGTGAAGTAAAGATAATTGGAAAGAAATTAACAGCCAATAAATCTTCCTCCTCTTCCTGGTTTTTGAATTATCAACATATGTCACTGTCAGTAACAAATACAATTTGTGAGAAATTGGGATATGACTCTATACATTCTATAACTAAACCAAAAAATATGTCATTAAGTAAAGTTAAACTGTATCATTATCAATGTTACAGGAATGAACAGTGTCTTTGGTAGATCACTCAAACACTTTTAAAACTATCATCATAAATTTAGTAAATCATTAAATAGGGTTTTAAGAATGAAAGTATCACCTTTAGAACTAAATTTAAAATGTTACAAGATTGATGTTCATTGTAAGAAGAAAGTAGAAGAATGCTAGAAATGATGTGACAGAAAAAATTTATAATGTATTTGTAATTTTCTTAACCATAACCCCAATACTTAGTTTAGATCCATCTGACTATGAATTGGGAAAATTAACAACAATATACCAGGCAATCTCTAGTTGAAAATGAATATGGGAAAACTTTCTTTTCATTAATCCTATTCATCTAAAATAGCTGTCACATTTTTCTATCATTTTCTTGGATTTTCTCTACACTGTTTTATGCAAACTTCCACATTTCTGTTTTTCAGATGCTTTTGCTCTTGAGACTAAGAACAATGTTTATAGTCTATTTATGAGAAAAAGTCTGCAAACAATCTATATTTATGCCTCAAGGTTGCATAGAGAAAGTCTATGCGCAAATGCATCATTTTCATTACCCATTACGTCACAAAGTTCACTGTTAATTAGTTCAATTAAAATAACAAACTCAACTAAAAGTAGTGCTTCGCGGATAAAAATCAGCTGCTCATACAAAGACCTCAAAGGTAAAGAGATTATTAGGATTATTGAAGGGATTATTTATCCTTTACTCGACTTGCATAGATATCAGAGTAGAAAGAAGTTCTTCAAACTTTGAAAATAAAAAATATTGTGAATGGAACGATGCAACTGCAAACTTTGAATACTTTTTAGTATCAAAGACTTTTGGAGTATTCCTACCAACATATAATTTAACAGAGAGTAAAGTGCAAATCAACTTTAATGCTGTTTTTATCTGTCATCAGTTAGGGATGCTATTTATTTCTGTTATTCAATACGATTTACCTGTAACCATTACGGTATGAAAATGTCCTAAATTCTCAGGGCAAACTCCATCCAAGCCAAAGGGGCTTTATCTTTTTTTCCTATTTAATTCTAGAAATCGTTGCCCTACTTAAAAAAATGTAAAATTTTACAAGGAGATATTGCGTGTAATTTAGGTTTTATGACAGAATCAAATCCACAAAAAAGAAGCTATTTCCAACCTAAATGTGGTAGTAAAGGATCAGCTAGAAAAACTGGTAATAAAAAAATCTCTAAAATAATATTTTTTAAAAAAGAAAAATAGGACACAGATTACGAAATCTGAATACAAATACATATATATATATTGATAAGACTGGTGGAAATTTCTCTCATTTTACTGGTGAATTTCAATATTTTATAGCTAATACATATTTATCAATCCAGCTGTTGTCCTACATTACTGTACAAAAAATTTGTAGCTTTTTTGGATTTAATTATGGAACAATATTGTCAAATTTCAATAGCCCATCAGATAGTTTAGTTGATAAATTGATCCTTAACAAGTTTGAATGTTTGAAAAATTCATCAAATATTCAAGATTGTTTAGTTTCTAAAAAAATGTATTTGAAAAAGTGTTAGCAGAAAATGTCCAACTTTTTTGAAAAAATGGAAATAATTAATGATTCATAGTATGAGGGGAGATTTAAAACCAAGCAAGGATGGGGTAAAACCATATATCTAAATGAACGTTTTCTTTTGCAACCATTAGAAAGTTAACTAGTAATCTTGAATGTATTTTTGGGATCAGGGAAAACTCGTTCCTGGGAAAACTCACCCCTGGGAAAAGTTTTCCTCTTTTTAGGAAAACTCGTTCCCTTTTTGCAAGAGCAACTTTCATCGTTTTTAAAAGAAATAGAAAGAATATTGTATATAATATAATTGATGAAAAATGCTAAATATATGAAAATCACAAAGAGAAATATAAAGATAATGTTATTCAGAATAAATATTTGCTGTTTTTTCCAGTAGATCAAATGCTGTTATTTGACCAAATTTATATTCATCCCATATATCAAAAATTTTCTATTGTTTTGTTATTGTCATTTGCCTTTGATATTTTCTTAGTTTCTTTTCTGTTAGAAGCTTTTAAAAAACTGGAATCAAAGAAGCTTCATGCTTCAAGCAATAAACTAATAAATACAAGCAAAAATTAGGCAAAGTTTTTTCAATAAGTCTCCTTTGCCATGCTTCAACATCATTATTTGTGCAAATGCTCATTCCAAAAACAGACCAGCTTTCTGGTGTCCAAATAGAATTTCTAATCCAGGTATTTTCTATATATTCATACAAATCTTTATATACATTTTTCTCAAAAGCTTCTTCTTTTAAAAATGAAAAATATGGGGCATTCCAGGAGAAGGAAGAAAAGGAAGTGCCAATAATTTTCTCATCATATCTTTAAAGGTCTTACTAGTTTTATATGCAGTTGCATATCCCAAATTCTAAAAACATGAAATTATTATATACTTTAAATATGTGATATAATATAATACTTGGATTTTTCTGAAAACTGCTTGTATCAAATGGAAAACACATCCTTGAATTGTGAATTTAGATAAACAGATGACAAAACGAGTCCATAATCCTAATTCAAAATCACCAAAGAACTTTTTTGATTTTGAATAATTTGTTGGATCAATATTCTTTTTATTTCTTTTATAAACGATAAAAGTTGCTCTTGTAAAAAAAGGACAAGTTTTCCCAGGGACGAGTTTACCCGCTCCCTCTTTTTGTTATTGGAAGCAAGTTAAAATGTCTATTTAAATGGTAAAGTTGAAATTTCAACAGATAGAGTTGAACTGTATGTAGATTCAATGTGTTGGGATTTGAATAGAAAAAATGCAAAATTTTGGACGTTTTCTTCAGCATCTGTTGTCGTTGATATATCTATAATTTCATCCTTTATTCTAGACAAGTTACTAAAAAAAATCCCCTTCCTATTGAATGTATAATGTCTAATAAGAAAGGTAATAATCTTGTTTATATTTCAATTATATTGAAAGTTTTTCATTTCACACAAACAGCTATTGATTGTTCTGAAGACTTAACAATGCTGACGACACTAATTGATGATACGTGCTATTATTTATTTCATGGAAGGGAATTTAGAACTTTGGATGAAAGAGAATTGTTTTGTAAACAAAGAAATTTAACACTAGCTGATTTTCCAACAAGAGGGAAATATTTTGTTTTTCTGTTCTTACCTGAATTTTTCAAGCAGGAAGCCTCCATCGATATTGGATTGGTGCATAGTGCATGTACGAATTTAGATGAATAATTTATTTGGAGGGGAGGTGGTTAGAGAAAAGTGAGAATGTTATCTGCAATGATTTGTCAGTTGAATGCCAATTTTATCAGAAATTCCTTCTCATTTCCTTTGAGTGCCTAAGCCCCTCTGAATTGATCTTCTTTTAATCATTTTACTAAAAAACAATTTAGATGCTAAACTAGTGAACACAAAGAGAAACAGTAAAACTTATATATCAATTGCTAATACAACTTTGGATTATCCATCAGTAGATAAATCCTTCATCAAACTTGATAATTTAAATAAAGATGTCCATTTAAAAAATCTGAAAAAATTGAGAGAAATTTCATTGTTTTGCTACAGTCTGTTTGTGTCTATTTTCAATTTAAAAACAAAACAATATACAGTTTAATTATATTTTCATATTCGAACAAACATTGCTAAAATTCAAGTGGCATCTATCAAAATTCGCTTCTAATTAGCAGTATTAGCTGTTCAACCAAATACGTACTTGTTTGGGTTCTGTCATTAAACAGTCATGTTTCTTATGTCATTAAAATTTCTGATAAAACAGCCTTCAAATATCAATTATCTTCTGGACATTTTTCATTGGAGACCCTTTTTAATAGAACTAATATGTTTTTTTGCAAAACTGATGGTATATTTATAAATGTCGCCTACGTTTGTGATGGAGTTAATGATTGTCCTTCTTACGATGATGAAATCCAATGTCCGAACGAGAATTATCCACAATTTAGATGTTTTTCTAACAATCAAACCATATCTACTTTCCTTGTTTGTAACTATATTTCTGAATGTCTGGACGGATCGGATGAGGACAGTTGCGGTAAGCGGTAGTGAAAAATTGTATAGGCTGAGAGATGGATGAACGCATGACAAACGTCCCCCATTTGTCTCGCTCCGTCTCCACATTTAATGTAACGCTTACCTATGGAATCATTGTATTTTTTTTTCTCTATAGAATATAATAAATGTGCGAAAAGGCTAGTGTATAATTTTTGTAAACAAACAAACAAACATTAGTGTTTGCCAACTAAGAAATGAATGTTATTAATATTACATAACACAGTGAAATGCAGTGTGCTAACCAACAGTGCATAGATGAAATGAAAATTTGTGATAATGAACGCAATTGTTTTGATGATAGTGACGAAATCTGCCACTCTGATGCTTCCCCAATTCCAATCAACAAAATCGGTTAATGATGAAATTTGTGGTTTTGTCGTTATTCCTATTATTACTCATTGTAGCCTGTCATAATCGAGGTCAAGGGTACTGCGATGGGGTTTGTAAACCACAATGGCTTTGGCGGGATGGAAGAACCGATTGCATCGATCAGCAGGACGAACCTACTTCATCTAGTTACATATCAAATAGAGATAAAAATTGCTATCTATTTTACAACTCATTAGGATATGCTAAGACAAACTTATTTCTAACATTTAACTGTCACAATACTACTTGCAAGTACGGCCAGTATCAGTGTCATAGGGAAAAATACTCTATTTCAATAGAGCAAGTATGTGATAATATTGATCACTGTCCTCTCGGTGATGATGAAATTGAATGTGGTTAGTATTTGTTTAATATTTGTCATTAAGAAAAAATAATTGGTATCGTTTTCTTCCCTCGAATGCTGAAGATCACTTTGTTGCAAAAGGATTTTTCAAGTGTCATAAAGAAAATTTCTATTTACACTTCAGCAAAATTTGCAATGATATTCTGAATTGTAAATACGGAAGTGACGAATTATTTTGCGAAATATACCAAATTCCTAACGAAAAGATTTGTCGTAAATACTCGAATTTTGCTTTGAAATGCAATTTTAAAAGTTTAAATTCAAAAATTGCTTTGGGTAAAATTTTCAAAAGAATTACTGTTGAAGGTAAAATGCATAGAAATAACCTTGAAAAATCCAACAATTTATTAAATTTAACAATTTCTGATGCTGTTCTTTATGATAATTTCTCTTCTCTACTCTTTCCAAATATCATTTATCTAACTTTAAGTAATGTAACCAACTATAACAATATATCAAACATTTTAAAATCTGAATTAAAACTTCTACAACATCTTAATTTGTCAATAAATGAAATAAAAGTTTTGAATTTCTTCAAAGAAATAAAATCAACATATTTAAATGACCTTGACATTTCATTTACAAAAATACAAAATATTTATAAAAGAGATTTAAAATATTTAAGAAATCTTCAAATATTAAAAATGAGAAATTGTGATATAAAATCTATTGAAAGTTGGTCATTACTAGAATTGAATAGCCTCGTCGAATTGGATTTTAGTAATACCAATTTACCAAAATTTTCATCAAAAACGATTGCAGAGGGACTAACAAATGTTCAGAGAGTATCCAGTAAAAGTTTTACACTATGTTGTTTAGTGTGGACATATAATAGTAAAGAAATAAAATGCGAACCTACTCAACAATTCTTTAGAGTATGTTCAAAACTAATTAGTAGAAATTTGACACGTTTTATCATATGGATTATTTCAATTTTGGGTATATTTGAAAATTCTACATCAGTTATCTACGTTATCTTTTCTTCAAGACTCTCATCCAAACCTCTCCGACTGTTACTTTCTTTCAGTGATTTGTTAACTTGTCTCTACTTTTTAACAATTGCAATTTTTGATTCTTACTATGGCGAAGATTATTTGAAATACGATGAAATTTGGAGGCATAGTGTTACCTGTAAAATTCTTGGTACATCTATGACGATATCACTATTGCTAGCATCTTCTAGTGTATTGCTCTTTGCGCTTGAGAGATACCAAGCAATAAAGCAACCATTTGAAAAACCCTTTATAACTTTACATTCAAAATTTCTGATCATAGCCATTGGATCATTTTGTCTTTTTGCTGTAATTCCACTTTTATTTCTCTACAAAGTTATTTTTTTCTTTTACACCTTTAAATGATTTTATTGATTTTTTTGCATATTTTCTTTAAAAGAACATCCACAGCAATTCTTCAATCTGCTTTAATATATACATCAGGAGTGAGATGGGAGATGGATGGTTTATTATTTTTAGTCTATTCAATATAATAATTCCATCAAGTAGTATTCTTATAGCGATTCTGTATTTAAAAATCTTTCGAACAATTCAACAATCTTCAAATTCCATCAAGTCAATGACAGTTGGAATGCAAAAAAAGAAAATAGTTAAAAATGTATTTGCTAGTGTAATCTGTAATGTTGTACTATGGCTCTCAGTTTCATTATTAGGTATATAATATAATGGGGTCGACAGAAAACGTCCCCAAGTGAGATTTTTGAAAGCGACATTTCGGATTGAAAAATGGTTAGGAGGAATAAAGTAGCTTTTAATTTATAGTTAGGGGGGATTCCATCTAAGGGTTAGGGGTTATTAAAAAAGGTTAGGCAGAGACAAGGGCTAGGTTAGGGTTAGGGTTAAACTATGCATTTGGGGATGTTTCTGTCGTATCCCCACACCTTTGTGACTGCTGAAGCTTTATCACTTTCCTCTAACCCTTAGGTGTGACCTTACTAAGGATCAACTGATGAAATATCTTTGGAGATTCTTCAAGAATTTCATTTGTGGACGTTTTTCCACGATCCCTTGCATTTGAGAAGTACTCATTGCTAATTTTTCAACAGGAATCTTATCACTTTTTATTAATATCCAGATTAATGATGATTTATACTCATTAATTATATCAATTTTATTATCATTAAATTCTACAACAAATCCACTTATCTACATCTTAAACGATATTATTAGTTACATTCAAAGCGTTAAAAATCTTGCAGCAGTAGAAAGGTCACCATTTTTAAACTTTTTCATTTGTTTTCTTTTAGAAAACACAAACTTGTTTTCCTTTCAGATTGTCATTGGAAAAGAAAGCTAAGGAAGAAATGCTGAAAACATGTATTTGAAAATATTCAACTTTTTACACTCACATTAATAATTTCTTTTTAATGATTTAAGGCATACAATTTACCAACAACAACTTTCGTTACTTTGTATTTCATCAGTGTTTCGATCAGGTTCATCAACCCTTGTCATTATCCAAAAAATTCTACAAAACAAATTGTTTAGTTCAGTGCATAAGAAAACTTTTTAGAGCTTTGCATTTTTTAAATTGTCATTCACTTTCATTCAATAGAGATGTTGGCCTAGATTCTATAATAGTTGAAGTAGAATTTTTCTTAGGCTTTTGGTTAAATTTTTACTAATAGCACACTTTGTGTTGACATCAACATAAAAACAGAAAAGAAGTAATCAATACAAATTATATATAAAAGAAGTGAAAATGAAAACTTTGGATTCAGAAAAAGAAGATGTACTTATATTAGGAAATATGATGAAAAGGCTTCTTCAAAGAAGAAAAATACATTCCGATAATTGAGAGAGAGAAAAAATAAATGATTTTTTAATCAATACTTTTTTTTCACAAGAATAAAAGCACTATTGTTTTGCTAATAGGTAGGCCTGAACTAAGTATTAGGAGAAGTAAAATTGAAAAGGTAACATCTAGAGCTGGAATAGGATTAGGATAAATCTGTAAATTCATACTATAGTGCCTATTAAATTTCGAACCAATTTTTCTTCATGAGTAGCCTTCTTTTAACAAAATTTTAACTTTAAGAGTAAATATATTTATTTTTCATAAGCCATTGTAATCATATTGAATGCAATGAGCTTACTTTATCAAATGAATGGACTAGTCCCTTGCAAATCTTCAATAGTCCAACTCCCATTCCATCATTCCCCTCTAAATTCTATTTCAGAACAATTATTTAGCAGAATTTCAATTCCAAAATAATGACTTTTATTAAGTTCACAAAAACTAAAACCAATTTATTTTAAAGTATTCGCTGAATGGACAAGTCCATTACAAATCTCTGCCAATCCATCTTCTAAAAAGTTATTTCTCAGAACACTGATTACTTCAATTCTAAAACAGTTTTTTAGAAAATTTCCAATCTGCTTATATTGACTTTCACTTAGTTTACAGTAACTAAATTCAATTTATTTTAAGGTTTTAGATGAATGAATAAGTCCTTGACAAATCTCTAATAATCCAATTTGTAAATGCTCTTTTTTTTGAATTGTACAGAGATTTATTATTGGTAACATTTTAATTCTTCTGTTCCAATATTCTTAATATAGCTTTATGTTGCATAGGACTAGAAATATGTTTTATATTTTTACGAAAACAATAGTTTATAGAGTAATAACAATTACGTTATAATTATAACCATATAACCATAAATCTATAAACCAAAAAGGGCACTTATTGATTATAACAAAAACTTTTAGGAATAAGATTATTGTTTAAGTCAACTGAGCAAAAGCCTATTATTCATTTATATTAAAAACCAAGACTTGAAAGAGTAGCATCAGCACTAACAAACGAGATTTCAATGAGCAAATTAATTTATAGAATTTCATCCTTCAGCCAGAAATTTAGTAAATATTTAGGAAGAAAGTGATTTCCCATGGTAACAGCCATAGCAACAATAATATTCTATTCTCTCTCTCTCATTTTCTTTGTGCTCTTGCTTATTGATACAACCAGAATACTAACCAATTAATCACATTTTAGTAATTTATAAGTTGAACTGAGAAGAGAAATTGCAAAAAGATAAATTAATTACCAAGATACCAAGATACCTTTACCATGTCGTATTGAGTTTGAGTAAATGTTTTGTCTTATCATTTTAATTTCAAATCAAATTTGTTTAATTTAAAAATTAACAAGAGACTTTAACCAAAGCACCAACTAAGCAAAATCTCTAGGGTTTTATATAGTTACCCATTTTCCTGCCAACATATACAGTATAGGCAAAAAGTGCCCAGCCACCTTGTAAAATTTTTAGTTTAGATATTAAACTATACAGAATAACTACTTTTAATTGGTAATAATAATTATTAATATGTATAAACTAATATCCTTTACCAACAATTATCAAAAACTGGTTTTTCTTTTATAAAATCCAGTTTTAGTAATTATACCTCAAAAAAAGGGAGTAGTTAAAAATGAGTGGCCATCTACTGTATATTAAGTGCAATTGAAACAGATTAAGCCTATTTATATTGTTTGAATTGATTTAATGCTCAACACATCAACAAAAGCAATAAATATTTCAACACGCATAATGAGCGCTTTCAACAGGTTCGTAAACGTTTTAAGCATGTCAGTGGGCGTTTTTGGCAGTGGGCGTTTAAAACAATGGGCCTTTTTAACTAAGCGTTTTCAACAACCCTTGAAAAATTGTATAGTATTGAATTATACCTTAAAAAATGATTCCTCTCATACATACATAATTGATATAAGGTGTTGAAATATTTAAATAAGCAACCAGTCAGAATACTTTCACTTTATAAAAAGAAGAGAAAGAGAGATATACAAAAATTAGAACAGAAATTGTCATTTTCATAGGTACCTAAAAAGTTTAACTGATCTTAAAAACAGTGCTTAATTGTTAAAAATTTGAAGCATCCTTCAATTATTTCATTCTTGATAGTTGTTAATTTTTCAGATAAGAATTTTCAGGAAGATGAATATCTTGGTAGTATTGAAAGTAATTCTTTTATCTTCTTTGACTCTAACATTAACCAATGCAGGTATTTTCTCTTATACATCAATGTAAATCTGTATTCATTCATTCATCCATTCACTTTTTTCTTTTAGCGTGTACTTATGATGTAATAATTGGGAAACAAGTAAATATAAACGCATTTGTAGTATTTTACGGTAATAATTTGGACTTGTGCAAATATGTTTGTGACCATCTAACTCAATGTCAGTAAGTACTCATATAACAGATTTTAAAGTATTTCAAGATTAGTTCAAAAAGGTTATTGAATTCACAAAATATCTTATAGAATTTATCTTAGATAGCCAAGATTTTCAAAATTGATAACAATCTTCAAGGTATATCTTGTTTTTTTATATTAAAGGGCTTTTGGTAAACGAACCAGTTACTGTAATTTTAGAATATCACAGACACCAATAAAAGACTCACCTAGTAATGCCTATTCTGATTGTTACAAGAAGAGTTCTTGTGGTAATGTATATCCAAATTATTAATATTCTTAAATTAGACTGTTCCAATTTTTAAATTAAACTTTCCTTTACTGTTTAATTCATTCAGGAGGCATTCCACCATTTCAGAGTAATACATAATAAAATATACTTAAATATTAGTGAATAAATTTATATGTACACTTTAGGTAAACACTATTCCAAAATATCACAAAGAGCATTTAGTGGTACTCTTTATGGAAGATTTTTTGGCGATTGTTCTATTATATGTAGCAGCATTCCAGTTTGCAAGTAATATGTCCATTTGAACATTTTATATTCTAAAATTGTTTATACAATCATAACAGATCATATGTTAAGGAAGGAAGTTTTTGTAATCTTTACACAAATATGCATTCAGATCTAAGTAACCTTACAACAGAAGCAGATAAGGATTATTACTATGAGTCAGTGGAAATTTTAACAACTCAATTAATTACAACAATTCCAACTGAAAAACCAGGTAAACAGACACTTTTTTCTTTCTTACAAAACAACTACTTCATTCATCCAACATAAAAAGTCACATCTTTTAAGATACAAGAAAACTTAACTAAAAAAAATTAGTGATTACACGAAAAGGATTGTGATCAATAATTTACTGCATATTTTAGCATTTTTGGCAATATGATAAAAGATTCATTTGATATATGTTTAAAGTTATGGTTAATCTAACTCCATACACATTGAAATTACGTTTCTGATATAGGTCATACAAAGGTATTTTAATAAATTTGAATACATTCCTTTCAAGAATTCAAGAAGAATGGTTGATAGATAGCACCAATGCCTCAAAAATAATGAAACATGCTGTTGATCAGGTCAGATATAGTCATCCTGTTTCCATTGTGACAGATAGCATTACAAAAGCATTTGAATATCATATAATACATACCAAAAACATTTTTTTTCCCATTTATTTTTCACTTATAGTACGGAATTGCGGACAATTCCGTCTAAAATTATTTCTCAGCTTTCTCACCCTGTTCTGGATGCATTCACTCTCTTTTATACCTTTGCTATCGTCACTTAACTTGGTGGTTGACTGTGGTCATTCGCGCTGCCACGTTTGTGCCGCATTGCTCTCTATCTACTGTCCTAGCTTCAGTTAAGTCAATCTCTTCCTTTAAGTGACGCTACCATACTAACATACATTCACTGACTCACACTATCGAACACAGAGTATAACATTCTGTTCATAACCTATTAATCCTTCATATTAAACACTTAACAATTATTATATACAAGAGATGCTTCAAACTGTAAATTGTATTACCAACACTTTGTATCTGGTGTTAAAGACCAAAAACAAGACACTTTAAAGTTAGTCACGAAGGAATAATCTTTGTCTTATACATGAAAATTGCTAAGAACTAAATAAGAAAAGAAGGAAAGATGGAACAAAGTAAAAGTGAAAACATTCACAATAAATGTCATGTCCTCTTGCTAAAGATAAACATCAACTATAACATTTGCCAACTGTAAACTAACTAAAGTGTATATAAACGCTTATAGTTTCATTCCATTCATCTATCTCTATTTCTACCTCTTAACCTGAAAAGATCACCTGAAAATTCATCAGTAAACAAGCTGAATATTCTAACATAATGGAATAGCTATAACGAAATATGTATATATAAAACGTAAAGATAATTTGGCTCGCTGCCAAATTTAGGCGATGTGCTATCGACTACAGATTTATTGAGGCTACTACTGTAGAAGACTTTTATTTCCATAGTTAATTTCAATAGTTTCAATATTGTCGAGTTAATTAATTGATTGTGACTTTCATGCAGATTCGCTTAGGTATTGTAAAAAGCCATGTTTTGAAATCATCATATAGTTTTGTTTTGAATAGTGAAAATTTAACTGTCTTTCAATCAAAGGGAATCATTCATAGATACTTGTATCAATGGACCAGTGTTCAGTAACAACCATAGAAAATTAGACCAAACATTAAAATATATCACTGATAATTAAACTCCAGAAACTTACGTATAAATTACAATGGCAGAAGAATTTAATTTAACAGTACCACGGCCAACTGTTGGTCATGTCAACCTTGATTTTCAAATTGAAATTTTGGGATATAATTTTAAAAAGTGTATAGATAGATTCGACATGACTCCACCAATTACAGTTCTCGTCTTTGTTCCTGTAGATACACAAATTGTCTCACGTTTTCAATGATTATATTGGGACTGTTCTTTGATATCTGGAAATGATAACACAAATTGCAAGTATTTGTGTAGTTGTGGTTCATAATACTGTCAAGCAGTCTATGTCACAGCATTTGAAGATGAAAAGTGAAAATATGCAAGTTTGTCATTACAAAATAATAAACATTTAACTTTGTAATTTTCTTCATATAGTCAATGTTATGTAGTATTTTGCCAACATGCAAACGAATTGACATCTTCAATAAATTTTTAAATTTACAACCTTTTCCATGGCAGTCATAAGACCTTTTTTGGTTATGAATTGAATTTTAAAATCTGTAATTCTCCATAGGAATGAAAATAAAAATAAGGAAGTGATAAGGAATAACACTTTCACCATTCAATTGTAACAGCCATTCAAAGCAGAAAGAATTCACATCTTAATGGACAATGTGATACATAATAGAAGGCATTGTAAAAATTTGCTAACCCTTTAGCCTTTAACCCTTCCTTAAGGGATTCACCTATTACATAATATGTAACATTTCTCACATGCATTTATTAGCAATATATTTCAATTTTTTTAATGGTTAAACTGGTGGAATTCATATATAATTCAACCAATTGATTTAGAATTGATAGATTAACGTTTATAATCAGAAGAAAGAGAATTAAATGTATCATTATCACCTTATTAGTTTTATTATTAACAATTAAAAAACAAACAAAACACACTAACTACAATGTTTAAAATAAAATGATGTTAAGTTTTGTAGATATATAATAGTTTATTTCTTTCCAAAAAATCTTATTTGCTCTTCAATTCCAGAAGGCTTAAATCTTGATATTTGATCATGATATACTCTCTTATAGATTTCTATAATCTGCTTAAGCCATGCGAAAATTGCAGCTCCTGCTCTACTAGCGTTTGTCACTAGTTTTAAATCAACTGAAGATAATATCTCATCAGCTCTTAGTATAATACCAGGATGAATTTTCAATATATTTAGTTCATCTATCTTTTTTAGTATTGACATAGAAGAAATAAATTTAATATAAAGCTGACATTCCTTCCAATCTTTAGATTCTGCTTCAGATATTGACAAAACCAGTAGTACTGCTTGTATAACTGTATGTACAACATCTGGTAGAGGATTTAAATTATGCAATTCAGTGATAAGTCTTTCTTCTAATTTTAATATTCTCAATTTTAACATTTCAATCTGTTTCAAATTTTCCATTAGTTCATTAGCTGTAAGTAATTCATTTCTCAATTGATGACAATATGGTTCCTCCGATGCTAACTGTATAACAGGTATCATTCTTTTGTAGTCTTGATCTTCTATTGCTTTGTTTAATTCTATCACAAAGAATAATTAATGAAATAAGACAATGTAATATGAGAAAACATAGAAAACATACTTTTTTTTATAAAGCTTATATTATATGCTTCATTTTTCGTATCTCTCTTTTCTGCAACAGCCGCTTCTGCGCCTCTTTCTTGACTTTCTTCCGGTTTTCTCTCCTCGTTATTTCCATTTTCATTATCGCCCTCTTTTTTTGCTTCTGGTTTCTCTTCAACTTCTCCTTCTTCTCCTTTGTCTCTTTTTTCTCCATCTCTTTCTTTTTCGTTTTCTTCATTATTATGAAGTCTATTCTCCCAATCGAGTTCCATTGGCTAAAAAAAACAGAATAATAGTAGTTTTCTACTATGTTAGCAATAATTAATTATACGTTACTTACATTTATCTTTTCTTGACTATCTTCTGTTGCTTTGATCAGATCTTCATTAATAAATTCACTCATGTAAACATGCTTCTCCAATTCCAATAACCAATTAATCTGCTCAATTCTTACCTCATTAGTATCCATTTTTGCGTCATTATTAACTGCTATTAACTCTTCCTTCCGTTCTCCAGATTCATCTTCGATTCTTGGCTGTTCAGAAACTTTGTACCTTAAAATTTCAGTGAAGAATTTTGCACGTTCGCGTAATTTAATTTCTATTATTAAATCGTCTGTTTGATTGCCAGTATCAACATTAGTAGTCCAAACATCATTTTCGCACGTAAAGTTGATTATATCATCATCTCTATCATTGTTATCGTCACATGCATCACCATCACCACTTCCACTGTTTTCATCGTCATTATTAGTATTGTCTCTGCGTCGATTACGTCGACAAATCATTTTCTGACACTGAATTCCTGTAATTTGGAATTGTACAGATTCGTCGCAATGAAGATTCCTCAGTGGTTCGATGATCCTATGAGTTTCGCTGATTCTCCATTTATCGGTTATTTGTGGAAAACTAATTACATTATTAGCTGCTTGAATCACATCAAAGTAGCAAATATAGATTAATTTGTAACTTTTCCTAGAATTCAATTTTTTTCCATAGATGAAACATTTAAACATTCCCTTATATGGAAAATTTAGAAAAAATTTAACACTGTTCAGAGAATTTTCAATGAATGCATATTGGCTGCAATCAATCTCCTCTTCATTGTCGGTAAATGAAAGTAATTTAATCTTAAATTGACAAGCTTTACTCTTATTAAATTTAAAGTTTATGGATTCTCTGCATTGTTGATAGGATTGGAAATTTTGGTCAACAACCAACCCTAATCTAAGGAATGCAGTCCTCTTGCCAATTGTTATCCTATCATTCTTAGGGAAAATGACTGTGTTCGTTGGTGTTTGAGTGCACACAGCGATGTAAGAACACAAAGACGGGTAGTCATTCGGTTCGTCTTTTTCACAAAAGTTGAAGCAGAGACAACTGCAACAATATTTAGGTCTTCTACTTTCTGCATAAATATTGATACCATACTCTCCACAATCCGGAAAATAGAATTTGACAAGTCCACGCCTGTGTTCGAATGTTGAGATGCAATACTTTCTCAATGATTCGGAAGTGTACCCACAGCTTGTAATGACAACATAGATGTCAAACTCATCGTCATCTGCTTCAAAGCGAATTTCAGTAAAACTATCAGAAGTATAATACATTCCTAATTCAGGAGTCATTTTTATAAAATTCAACTTAGTAGTTCGATAATTTGGCCCAAGTTCCTTTTGATGAACATGTGGGAAAGGATCAACGTTTATATTTTCGTATTTTGTAAAATTGATAGCATATTCCAAACAATTAAGGTATGTCATTTTTTCTTTGTATCTATTAGCAAACAATTGAAGCTTATATCTGGCAGATTGTGGAAGTCTGAGTCGTATAATTAATAAATGTCTCTGTTTGTCTTGAAACATTGCGATAAACTTTTGCGAGTCAACATTTCCCGTTTGTACCCTATCATTGACTTCAGACGTTAGCCAAGTTCTATTATCTATTAAGAGTTCATTCCAAAAGAATACTGGAAGACTCTCGTTTGTCTGTATGATAATTTCATTTTTTATGGAATTAGCTATGATTTTACCTTTTGGGTGAGAGACAATGCCAAGGCGCAAACTGAAGAAATTTTGTGAAAGATTGACTTGATCTCTGAATTCTAGATTGCTAACTTCTCTAGCCAGTAACTCGTGTTTAGCATTTGTTGGCAAATGACTGTAAATCATTTCTTCAGGATTCGTTAGGAAATAGAAATCGTTGTATTTATATGTAAGTGTTCGTTCATAAACTTTTGTTTCGAAAAACTTCAGAAGTGGGGAATATACCCTTTCATTTGCATTTACTGAACGGGAGGCAAACCTTACATTACAAAGAAACCATAGATTGTTTAGACGGACAGCATTCCAAGAGCCTCGCAAATCATCAGTCAATTCTTCTCCAAAATCAAATTGCTCGTGTTTCTGATGACCTTTGATCTCTATACAATCTATATTTGCGTGAACACAAATCCAGCATAGTACTTCAGAGTGCGACATTTGACCTCTATGTATTTGGTACATTAAATATCTAATTTCGTTCACTTTCACATCGCTATAGTTAATAGAATGAAGATTTAAAGATGCAAACCAACGAAAGAGTACTCTAAACTTTTCTATCTCATCATTTCTATATCTTCTTGTTAAACTAGCTACAGCGTCACTTGGTGTCTTTGATAGAAAACATGATGATTTCTTTGATAAAGCAAATTTATCTATTTTCGTAAAATCATAGTTACGCAGTATTTCCTCTTTTGTGAATGGATTTGGGTAAATAAGTGTTGGAGGTAAAGGTATTCCCCTACGTTGAACCATTTGGTACCATTCAATGTTTGCCATTCGAAGTTTAGTATTAGTTGGAAAGCCCATATCTTGAAATTCTCTCAATAGATCATCTTGAACAATTTCAAGTTGCCTTTGAATTTCTAAAGAGTTTGAAAAGAAAAATAAAAAAAAATTAAAACATTAAAATTGAATTGACAAACCAGCCATATTGTAAATTGGAACAACAGAATTTGTTGAGCAGCAAATCCCCATCTTTGCTTATGATTGATTCTCTGAGACTTTACACCGAAATACCAGGCTACATTGTGCGTTGAAGCTTTTATACTAATTCTCAGTTTCCTTAGTTGCAGAGACACAACACTAATATATTTTGTTTTCTATTTTTAGCAAACAACCTCAAAAGTAGAAGACTTATTTACTTTTGCATTCGTGTTGAAATGGGAAGAACTAAATTTGCTTCCTATCTCATTTTGGAGAAATATGAAAATATTTTTTTCAATTGTGACAAGCTAAATGTATTGAGTTGAATCCATTTTGCTTTTAAACTAAACCTTCTTTTGACTAATTTAAGTGTTTTTCTTTTGTTTATGTAGACATAAAACCAATTAGACTACGCTTATGGGGGTTAGGGGACAGCTCTGCGTTCGCAGTCTTTTATTCTATTAGTGTTCAACGGATATGACAGAAAATGTTGATGAATTTAAAGTTTTAACTCAACCCCAACACTAATTCTTAATTCAGAACCTAATTCAACCTAAAACTTTATACAAATCACAATCTTTCCCAAAAATGCAAGTTTTCTATTGAAAACTTATGTTAACTATTATTTAATTATTCTTTTACGAGTATTAACCATATTGTTACAAAATCAATAATCTTCTATATGACTAAATCTTAATCCTACAATATATGTCATGGCTCTTTTACAAAAGAACAGAAAAACTGGCTTAAATTTATTGACGTTTTACTGCAAGCACTATTTTTGAGATCTTATCGTCCATTTTAGAATAGGATGATTTATCCTTTTTCTAGGCAGATATTTAAAAAATATCCACATTCCATTCAAAAAAAGAATATAAATGGGCCATAAGGTTACTGCACCAATTTTATTGAATCTGATTTTGCACCTCAGGAACTATGTCATCAAATTTCCACATATTATCTTCTTCTCACAGAATTTAACAACAGCTTCATATAGGTTTTGGTTAACAGGGGAATGCTTATCATTTGTACATTCGAGTGTTGAAAGAAAGTTCATTAACAGAGTATTTAAAAGTTTAAATACTCTAATTTCTACAATACTCTTTATTTAAATTATAACAACCGACATTGATACATTCCAAAGTATTTGACGATGGTAATTGTGCTTCAAAAAGTTTTGGCCAAAAACTTCCAATTTCTCAATTTCCAAAAACGTTAATTGTTTCTGTTCTAGAACAGTTTTTCAATAGACTTTCCTTTTTAGCTTGGTAATGCCTCTCTGGCGTTACAGCTATCTTTCTTTCCTTCTCCGTCTGCTTCTCTACCAATTCTATGTCGTCTCTTTCATTTTCACTTTCCCATTTATTTCTTTTTCTCTTTCGTGAGGAAGTGCTTCTTTCGCTGGAGCAGCTACTTCTTAGTCTTGTACCATACTTCTCAGACATGCCATAAAAATGGCAATAATAATTATAAAGATTTTGTTTTTTGATATGACAAAATAAAACTTCGGATTTGATTAAGAAATGATGAAGTAATTTCAAATGTTACTTTTCCAAAAATTCTTCGCTGTTTACCATCTCCTTATTAGTTCTTCTATCAGGTGTCTTCATTGCCAAACATTTTTACTCTTTTCCTATGTTTAATCTAATATTTAAGACAGAAAAAAATAGAATAATGTTCGGCCTATCAAAATTTATGGTGTTCCAATTTTTATGCGGACTACTTTATAGAAATAAATATGAATGATATAATAATAAAGGTTAATATTCCTTGAAATGCAATTTTTATGATAATTGAATTGATGAAAGCAGATTGAGCATTTCATTGTGAATTTTCTTCCAAATACTCTGTATTCACACATTTGACAGTAGGGGACAGTGGGTGCTTTAAAGAATTTCTACTTCCTTTAATTTAACTCTATTTAAGCTTTTACTGTCTAGATAAATATTCAGTGTTGTGAAAGCGTTTTACATTGTGTGTATAGACAAATTTCACAGATTTTTTGTTGAATAATCATTTCCAAGGTATACTATGGCTTGTATTAAATTTATGTCAATAATAATTAATCACATCGATTTTCATCAGCTTCAAACTTAAAATATATATCGAATGCCATACTATTCGTTTTTCCAGCATATATCTTCTTTAAAAAGCAGATTTTCTCGGCCTTTCGAAATTCAAATGCTCTGAAAAAGTTTTCGCTAATTGAAAAATCTGAACAGAAAGAGTTAAAAAATAGTCGATATACCTGCATAAAACCTCGGTTGAACATACTTCAAGACATTCTTCAACATTAGTAACATTCTTAAAATGTTGTCCCCAAATAAAAGAACCATATGGATTGTTAGGAACCATAGCTGAATTTTCAATAAATTGAAAATTCTGTACTGTTAATTTGAAAGAATTTAATTGTGATACGGTTAATATATTTATGTTTACTCTTTTGTGCTTTTACTATCAATCTATGTCCAGCTTTATACTTTTTTCCAGAATAGGCACTTTTTAAGGAACACAGTAATGTTTCGCTGTCATATACAATTGCTCTGAAGGAAATTGTTTTATAAATAGTATTCAATAGACTATTCGAAAATTGAATTTTTCAAACTTGCACTCTCCGTATCTATTACAAATATCCAGACATATGCTTATGTCTGGAACTTTTTGGTTTGACAATTGCCATACTGAAGGTGTAAAAGGTATATCATCTTTAACAATAGAATTATCGTAAAGGTTATATTTTAAATCTGAAGATAGTTTGAAGTGAAATTTAAATGTTTATGATGAAAACCAAGTTTACCTTTTTCTAGTTTAACGTACGTATTATGGCCGGAAGAAAAGTTTTTGCCAAAAAAGCCACTTTTTAAATTACAAACCATACTTTCAACATTAAACTCAATTGCTCTACGTAAAAGACAAAAATACTAAATGATAGTACACTAGTTTTAATAATTCAAACAAACTTGCAAATAATATCTTCGTTGCATTGAAGAAGACAACTTTCAACATTTTCAACTTTTCGCGAAGATGACGCCCACTTTATAGATGTGAACGGTAGACTGGGAATTGGAATTGAATCTTCAAACAATCTATATTGATATGAAATTTCTGAAGAAATAAAAATCTGTCAGAACGAAGTAATTGGTAAAAAAGATAATTGTATTTGTACCTTTTTTCACGTATAAACTGCAACCTGGACTCTCCACTTTTCCCATAAAATTACTCTTAAAATAACATATATTTGTACTAGAGTAAAACGAAATTGCTCTAAAAGATGCGTATCAGTTAGACGAGACAATATCAAGAAAGTTTAAAGATTTACTAACTTGCATAATGTATCAATATTACACATTTGCTGACAGTATTCTAGTGTTGTTCCGTTTAGGAAGGTAGAATTAAAGATTAAAGATTCTAGAGGGAAATCTGGAGCTTCTTCAGAATTCTCATAAAGTTTAAATTCGGTGACTGTTTCGAGAAAATATTTCAATTTGTTCTTGAAATGTTTAAACAGATATAGTCGATATATTAATTCTCTAAATGTTCCCTTAGTTTCTTCCGAGAAATAGGGCTATGGCTGATTACTACCTTTATGAACTTTAGCATAGACTTGTTTCTGCGGACCACTTGAGACTATACCATAAAATGCTCTTTTTAAGTTACATTTCTTATTCGAAGTATCATAATCAACAGCTCTGTAGAATTGTACTCATGTTAAGCATTACTAAAGTTAAATTTGGTATTTTATTTACCTGCATCCTTCCTCTTTATCACATACAGTAAGACAAACATAAAGACTTGGAACATAATCAAAATCTGCATTCCATTCTACTGATTTATAACTTAAACTGGGATCCAATTGTGAATTTTCAAATTTTTCAAATTTATGAAACACTACATATGAAGAATTTTTAAATGGATTATACAACAATACAATAATTTCATGATTCTACCAGAATTTCCCGTTCCGAAATCAGGGGTGAAATACAGAAAAACAAGAATAGAGGTTAATGAATATAACATTATTCTGAAGGTAAATATTTAAGCAAAATGACAACCAAGAGGAAATTTCTTGATTATTAATCAATTAAGAACACTCTCAACCTTATCGAAAATTCTTGAAGCGTTAAAGGAGAGGATGTGAGAAAACGATTTATTGAACAGCGTTGCTTTTCTACAAAGCGTGGAATATGTGTCTGATCGATGTATTCAGCAATTACAGTACTGAATATGTTAATCATATTTTTTCGAATCTTAGACTTTGAGAGAAAGAGTTTTTCTTGAGAATAAGCTTTATTTCATTAAATGAACTTAATACTTTAGTGATATTTCTGTTTCTCTAGAACTTGGTATAAACATTGTTTGACGCAGGAAAGGATAATATCAGTACATTTTCTATATTTTTCTCATAGCAATCATCTACTATGTTTAAACAATTGAACGAATTGATTAATTGATTTATTAATTGATTTATTAATTAATCAATTCTACAAGAAGATAGTCTTTTTTTCGAGTAGTTCAAATTTGTAAACAGATTTTTAGGTATAAATATCAAACAATGAAAATTGTTCACTCTGTTTCTTTGTTAAGTTTCATTTCATCCTCTAACTGTATAAATAAAAGTATAGATTTTCTTTTGTTTTAGATATAATAGAGAATTTCTTCAATATACATATTCATATAGTTTAACTATGCGAATAGCTAATATTTGCATTCACCGAGAATGCTACTCGAACGTAATTTAACTATTCACATTATTCTTCTAATCTGTTCAGTTCTACTATAGAATTGATACTTAAAATAATTTTAACATCTAAATATTTTATATCAGTTGCAATTGCAGACAAAAAAATTGCGCAATAGTACATATTGCAAATTTATTCGATCCTTAATTCAATCAATCACCCGTATCTCTAGTGTCAGTAACAGTAGAAGGACACTAAAGTATGAGACACTCACCAGCATTTATTAAATCAAAAAGTGTAATGGTTAGCCTCCTTTCAATCTTAGTCTGTGGGTATCTACACAAGAATTTTTGTCATCATTTTTTATGACAAACAATTCATAGAAAGTTGAAATTTTTTATGTCTAAATTAAAAATGAGAGTATCATCCATTTACACTCAACTGCAATCAAAGTGAAACATGATTTATAAGATTTTGTTTTTCGCTTATAGCACGAAATTCCTAAGAATTTCGTATAAATTTTATTTGATATTCTTTTGGTCTCTCACACCGTTCTATTACATTCACTCCCTTTTATACTTTGTTAGTGTCACTTAATTGGGTGTTTGACTGTGCTCATCTGTATTGCCACATTCATGCCACGTTCATGCCACGTCGTTATCAACGATGTGGCATAACATCAAGTTGGACTGTCCCGACTCTGGGCTAAGTCAAACTCCCTTCTTAAGTGACGCTCAGACACTGACACTCGCACACTAACACACATTCACTCATATCATGTAATGTGAACGGAACGTTAGTATATAACGTTCTGTTTAGGTAGAAAATACAAAAAACACAAATCAGTTTGTGTGGATTCAATTGGATATAGGTAGAAAATTAAATTTAAGATTAGGCTTACCAGTTTCACAATAACCAGGTATTTGGTACAATTTAACAACAAATATTACCACTTCGGTTTGTTCCAAAGAGGGTATCATATACCAAAACGAAAAGGATGACTTTCAGGGATCGACAGAAAACGAACATTGTTAGGAAACTTTGTGGTGCAAGTTAAATTTGGGTGTAGAAAAATAAATGAATTTAAACTAAGGGGGTTTGGGTAAAATTTCAATTTCATGGATGTTTTACGATCATCTATGATAATCTTCGCTGCTTAGCGAGAAGATTAAATTCTTTAGCCTTATCAGGGCGTCAACAGTATTGTTTTTAGAGTCTGTAGTTTCCTCGTATGGATCTGATAAACAATTTATATGTAAATAAAGCTATTAAAATTATATTTCATAAAGGTTATTATACCTTTATATTTAAATTAAAAAAAAGGACTTGAATACAGTTTTTGCAGATTGAAAATAATATTAAAAGTAAATGTTTACAGCAACAAATTTCAAGAGAAATGTCTTCTTTTCAAAGCTGATTAAAAAGTTCAGTCTGTTTTTAAAGAATGGTAATTAATATCTTAAATATCTGCTTGCTGATAAAGTATATAAATCGTCAAATATAAAATTAGTGACAATTTGAAAAATGTTTCTTTGTCTGTTGATACTTTTACTCTCTTTTAAATTTAATTACGTTACTAGTAGAAAAGTCTATTCATCAAATGTATTATCTATAAATGTGTTAGAAACAAATCAATTTACTATAACAGGAATAATACAAATTCATCATCCTAAAACCAATTTCAATTATTCAATTTCCAGACTATCAAAGCATAAATGGAATGCTAAAAGCTTGTGTAGAAAATTCAATTTTTTTAGTGGTTATGGTAAAATTCTGACTTATAAAATGAAAAAAATATCTAAAATTGCATATGTAAAAAGAGGGAAATGTTGTAAATAGTATGTATACATGTATCGATTTTTGGATGTAGGCCTTCCTGTTGTTTTTAAACATTTTTCAATACCTTAATGTTTATAGCTGGATTGCTAAATATAAATTGATTTATTCTCTGCGTTGCTACAAGAAAAACGTTGAATGTAAGTCTACTTACTTTCTAATCTTATCAAATACTTATGAAAAGAAATATCTGTTTTGCATTTATTCCTCTTTCTCCAACTTTTAGTTTTCTTTGCCTATCATCGCCCAGATAATAAATTCTATAATTTAGCGTTTGTAAGGAGAGATACCATCTACATAGTTCGAAAGTCGTTGAATGATACTGACAATTCCATATGCAAAACATCAAGATATATACAGCCTGAAATACGTCCATACGAAATTAATGAAAAATCCTTTGCTATTGTTAATAAAACTAATTCAAAAGTTTATATAAAAATATCAAATGGCGAAAATAAAAAGACTTTTTCTCCAATTGAATGCGATTATTTTGATCTTAACGGTCTTATATTTCAATTTTGAAAATTCATTTATTAAATTGTTGCCTAAATTATTTTCATTATTTGATTTCAGATATTCAAATTATTGAAAACAAAGCAAAAAGAATAGACTATCAAAAGCAAGGTCGCATTAATTATCCAAGATATCAGTGTGTGTCAAAAAGTTTTGGTCAATCATATTGTAGCTTTCAATTCATTTTGCTTAACGACAATGATGGTAAATTGTCCGAGGAGGATGAACTTATCTTAAATAAATTTATTTGCCAACAAAGGAATATGACATCATTAACTATGAATTATGAACACTTTAGTATAGATTCTGTAGCAGAACCTTATTTATTTTCAAATTGTAAAATAGTTATGGGAAGTGTAAAACAATGTATTTTAAGGACAGGAGAGGACAAAAGTGGAGGAGAGAATGAAGTTGTCTATCTGGCAAATCCTATATGTTTCCATCACCAACGGCAGATGAAAAGTACTTTTAAATATTCGCAAGCAACCTGCATTCATTCTCTTTTTAGCTTCAAAATTTCAGTTGTTCAGTAAGACATTAGGACACTTGTACTTGAATGATCAGCATAATTATAATAATTTTGTTGGAATATTCCAAATGTTGATAGATGATGTTTGGTTTCATTTTAAAACATTTTCATATCATGAAGTTCAAATAATCTGTAAAAATTTCGGTTTTAATTATGGAACAATCGTAAAATACGACCAAACATGCAAACTGAATTATGGATTAAGACTTGAAACTCTTTCGTGCAGTACTTTGGACTTGAATCAATGCAGTTACGTGGTTGAAAAAAATAAAAGGTCCGTTTTCAAAAGTTCGAAAGTTGAAAAAAATTTTTTCTAATTTTTCAGAAAACGTGACAAACATGTTTTATTTTCTTTAAGTTGTTCTAAAGAAATTGGTATTAAGTACTTTGCCAAAGTCCTCATAGAAGTAGCTATTCATTTATCGATTGATTGATTGAAAGAAATATAGAAAAAGCTTTTGGTAATAATAGTTGTAATTGAAAATAAGTCATTGGTAACTAAATGGCTACTTTGATAGTGAACTGCCAATAGATTTCCCTTAACTATCTAAAATGTTTACAGTAATTGAATGTAATGAAAAAAATGCGATCATAATATATGATACCTGTTATTATATATTTAAACAACAAAACGAATATTCTATTGAAGAAATTTCAAAAATATGCCAAAAAAGAAATCTTACTTTAGCCGACTTCATCTTACCTCATGCAAAATTCACTTTCTCCTTTTTTACGACTGTCGAAAGTGGAGTTTTAAAAAAGACTCCTCTAGGAACATTGGCTTTATATAATAGTAAAATTCCAATTCAAATTCATATCAATATCATTAGCACCTAATGAATTAAATACAATTAGAATTATATGAAAAATTGAATGGGAGACAGGCAGTAGTTAAGGCCACTGCCAGTAATTTTCCTCAAGAGTATCTTCTCAAATCTGACTCTCTTAATAGTGTACATCTTTTGGCGTATAACCAATCATAAAACTTTAAATTCAGAAATAATTTTTTTCAGAAGAGGGACGCAATTTCGTTTATAAATTATTTTGACATTTACTCATTTAAAATTGGCGTTAGCAATATTTTAAGTGCTATAAGAGAATGCTACGCATTTGGGATTTCAATAGAAGAGAAAACTTTAAAGGAAGTATCAGTCTCCCCTTCATATTGCAACCATTTGGATATAAAAAAATTCATTTGTCAGAAATCACCTAGTAAATGTTGATTATTAGTTAATGTCCTTAATGCATTTTAATTTTTATAATAATTATCAGTAATCAGAAATTATGCGAAACAACTTTTTTAAAATTTGCTGTTCCTATCTTATTATCCGTACGATTCCTAAAATATCAGTTTTTGCAGCTTACATTGAGTTATAGCTGTTCAAATACCAATACTTTGTTTTATGGAGTTGACCCTAATTTAATATCCAGTCCCTAACAACATTATCTATACTATTCAAGTGAGGTCTTGTCAATAAGAACTCTTATAATAATTTACATATTCTCTTTGCCTCTGTCAATCAAAGGCTTTCGAATTCGAATTTTAATACTATCCCAATATCCGTTATTGAAGC